ATATGTTTTATCTGCCCCCTGGATTAATGTTTAGAACTGTGTTCCCAAGGTTTGAAAAACATCCGATTGTTGTCTATTACTCGTATTTACCTGCTGGATTTTTTAATCCGGTGGACAGTCCATCTAGAAAGGCCCTCCTGGATGAAGTTACAGAATCATCAACCCATACTTTACTTGTAGTGTGTCCTGCGTTTACCCATGTTTCATCAAGGTAATAAATCTTCCTGTTTTGATTTCTATATTTCCCAATTTTTGTTAAATATCTATCCAGTAGTAAACTATTACGACCCCGTTTTTTCCATTTGAAATTTAAATGCTTCAGTAACGCATGGAAATTTGATCGTTTGAAATTTGGCAACGTTGTATCTCCATTTACCTCCTGCAGTACTTTATCTATAGTAGGTATTTCATTCCTAAAGAAGAATTCATGCACTTTCCTCCTAATCGCATGCTTATCAGCTTCATCCAATGATTTAACAATACTTTTGCGATGTTTACTGGTCATTGGCTCAGAAAAGGTGTGATTTTCTTTGTATTGTCTTAACACATTAAACACTGATGCGCGACACACCCCAACTTTGTGAGAAACCTTCACAACAATTTCTTTGATGGTTGATGCCTCGTTCTCCTCGCGCTCGATCTTATATATATTCAAAATGACCTCTTTCATTTCTGCACTCAGGTGTCTTTTTTTAGAGCGTTTCCTAGGTGGACTACAGGAGTTTACAACTTCATCGGCAGTATCTGTACTACTGGGCATTTTGCGCAAGCAGTTGATAACAATAACAATCAATAACAAGGTATAACAATAACAACGACAAACTCAACAACTTAATAAGATAACAAACGAAAACGTCCAAAGAAATACCAAATTGCAATGATGCACACGACATACGTAACACGTCTGAACCTGAATGTGACTCTGCCTTGATACGACTGCTCTGCCGCTCGGCATAGGCATTTAATTGCGAATTGACCAATGAGGGCTCCTGTTTTACGTCGAGACGGCGGCGTTAGCGTGCAAATCACCCGAACCTTTTGTTTACATCCGGTCTATCTCTTATCTGAATATACTGTAGGAAACGCTCTAAAAAAGACACCTGGGTGCAGAAATGAGAGAGGTCATTTTGAATATATATAAGATCGAGCGCGAGGAGAACGAGGCATCAACCATCAAAGAAATTGTTGTGAAGGTTTCTCACAAAGTTGGGGTATGTCGCGTATCAGTGTTTAATGTGTTAAGACAATACAAAAAAAATCACACCTTTTCTGAGCCAATGACCAGTAAACATCGCAAAAGTATTGTTAAATCATTGGATGAAGCTGATAAGCATGCGATTAGGAGGAAAGTGCATGAATTCTTCTTTAGGAATAAAATACCTACTATAGATAAAGTACTGCAGGAGGTAAATGGAGATACAACGTTGCCAAATTTCAAACGATCAACTTTCCATGCGTTACTGAAGCATTTAAATTTCAAATGGAAAAAACGAGGTCGTAATAGTTTACTACTGGATAGAGAAGAAATTGTGCTATGGAGGAGGGATTATTTAACAAAAATTGGGAAATATAGAAATCAAAACAGGAAGATTTATTACCTTGATGAAACGTGGGCAAACGCAGGACACACTACAAGTAAAGTATGGGTTGATGATTCTGTAACTTCATCCAGGAGGGCCTTTCTAGATGGACTGTCCACCGGATTAAAAAATGCAGCAGGTAAATACGAGTAATAGACAACAATCGGATGTTTTTCAAACCTTGGGAACAAGGTTCTAAACATTAGTTCCAGGGGGCAGATAAAACATATTACAAGTAACAAAACTTTTATAACTTTCGATAAAATGTGTGGATGTTTTATTGTCATTTTCATTTGTTAGAACTTTTTTAAGCCATGTTATTATGTGTTTTCGATATTTCAATAATTTTTTAATATAATCTTAAAATATGTCGAATATTATAAACTTAAAAAAAGTTACTAAGTTTTATATTGTGTACCGTTCCTAATATTTCTAATCATTTTAATTCATACTTTAAGCTTTATAAAGTTATAATTTGTTAATATTAATATTTGCGCGTATTTCAGGTTCCTGATCATTCATTTTTTAAAGGTTTATAACTTTAAATTAAATTGTGAAGCGCTGAGTAATCATACGACGTTCAATATTCTTTCTTTCAATATGACTAAATAATCCCAATTATAGCAATCTGATACTCATGTCTCAATGTTTTTTCGCTGAATGTGATGAAAACATTTGAAAAAGGTTCGCTTATTGAAATAAATCTACACCAGTTAGTACTTCGATTTCCAGGTAAAGGGAAAAGGCTCATTATCTGCCATATTGGCAATGAGGATGGATTTGTTGTTGACGGTCTGTGGTGCTTTGAGTCTAAGAAAACTGTAGATTACCACGAGGAAATGAATGGCGAATCGTTTGAACAGTGGTTTTCAAAAATTTTACCGAACTTAGAGGAAAACGCAGTAATTGTGTTGGATAATGCGCCTTATCATTCTCGAAGAATGGAGAAGGTCCCAACAACGGCTTCAAGGAAAGTTGATGTTCAAAATTGGCTCCGCTCGAAAAATATCAACTTTGAAGAAGCAATGCTGAAAATACAATTATTATTAAGAATTGTCAAGGATCACAAGGCGGAATATCAAAAATACGCCATTGACGAAATGGCAGCAAGTCAAAATAAAACTGTGCTCCGTTTACCTCCATACCATTGCGAGCTCAATCCCATTGAGCTCATATGGGCAGAGGTTAAAAATTATATAGCTAAGCACAATACAACTTTTAAATTTTGTGACCTCAAATGACTTTTCAAAGAAGCACTAGAATTAATAACAGCGCAAAAATGGGAAAACTGTATTAAGCACGTGAAAGACAAAGTTGAAAAGAGAATGTGGGAACTGGACAATATTTTAGAGGAACAAGTCGAGCCATTCATTATTGACGTTGGTGCTTCAGGCAGTAGCGATGATGAAAGCTCATCAAGCTCATCTTTCCAATAAAAGATGTCGTTCATCAAATTCGGTAAGTTATAAGTAATTATAAAGCTACTGTATTTTTTAATTAATTATTGACATTTTTGAACCCATTTTGGCAAAACCTATTCAAGAATCTACTTTCTGACAATGTTCAACCATGCACATTTTTTTACGTTTTGAACGTTTTAATTTGGTTACATATTTACCTAGAAATCAAAAAATATAGTAATCTATATTCTAAAAGCAATTTTAAGAGATATACGATTATTTTAAATTTAGGCTAATTTAAACGCCATTTTGAGATTATATTCGACTGTATTTCACCAAACATCAGGCGGCATCCGAAGCTGGAAATCGAAGCGAAAATTTTGAAACCCTTATGTATATTTACATCATTATATATTTCTTACCCCACCCCCACATGATCCTATATCCATCACCAATCGTATACACATCGAATTGTGCTAATTTACTACAAAGTTACGCCAAGCAGCATCTACTATCTAAAATATGTTATGCGTGACTCTTAATACGTCCCTGTCGAATGTTACAGCGTTCGATGATCACGTGGTCTTGTTTATGTCCGGTCTATCTCTTATCTGAATATACTGGATGCAGTTCGACGGGGTTTCAGCACATGGCGTCTGTGGACATTGGCAACAGCTGAATCAGCTCCCTTCCTCAGGGGCTGCTTGGAACTCTCATTGGGCAGGGCGTGGAAAAGTCGTCAGGGCTTCATCTGAAGGTATCAGCAGTAGTTTGGTGGAGAAAACGTAAGGTGAAGAAGACGAAAAGGTGGAAGAAGATGAAAAAGTTGGAAGAAGATGAAAAAGTTGGAAGAAGATGAAAAAGACCTCTGTTGGAGTGTGGCCTAAAAGTGTCGGCTAGAACGCGGTAAAAGCGTCGAAGACTCCCGTCTCCCACATCCCCGTAGGATTATATGAGACATAAAAAGGAAGAACGCTTAGACTTTATTCGGCGTAAAGATCCGCCAAATGCGTGCTTCTCAACAGAGCTACGACCAAAAAGTGAAGTTCCTTCAACTTGGACACGGAACACAAAGTTCGAGAGGAGCAATGGAGCAATGGAACAACGGCGGACTGTTCCCGGACTGAAACGACCGAACACTTGTCAAAATGTAACATTGAGGTTAGGAAAGAAACGAAGACGTAAACAATTCTCAGATGAAGGGGCCTCAACTACAAAATGTGATAATAGGTGGAGAGTTACTTATAAATCATCAAGAGTATGATTTCAAATTAAACCCGTAAAAAATTTTTAAAAAAATAAGACGATGTGTGAACATTCAAAATTGTTTTTAATGCACACCAAAATTACCTTGCTCTGTTACCAAAGCCGTACTCGGGCCTCTCGGACACCGAAACCTCGAGTACCACGTCAATTTTAAAACGCGTCTTCCGTATCGGAAAACTGTTGGCAAATAAGAAAAAGCCGGCAAGTCAAGAAGAAACGTTCATAATAACAATAAATCGAACGCGACATGGGATTCGCAATCTTTTCTTTATTCTTGCGGAAAGATTAAGTAATAGCTTTATAACGTACCGTACTACCTGTTCCTGCATCAAGGAGTACAGAGATTGCGTTACGTCGGCGTCGGTATTATAAAAAAAATGCACCTAGTCGAAAGTAATGTTGAATTTGATATCTGCGATGGACGACGCACAGCCAGTTCCTGGTATATACAGGGTGTAAACGTTATGATATTCATTATTTAAATGGGTGATAGAGGGAGTTAAAAGAAGCAAAAAGTTTCATATAACATGGTCAAAACGGCATTTTTTTAGAGAAAAGCGACTTTATTGTAAAATACAATCTGACAACGCCGCAATGTCAGACGCAAATTACGACGTAGCGCAGTGTAAATAAAGATGTAGTTTGTTATTTTTTGGTTCTTAGGTATTATTTAATTATTTGATAATGTACGAGGGATGTCTTTTAAGTCTTGCATATGGAAATAAAACAACACTGTAGGTAGTTTTAAATGACTTTATTGTTTTTCGAAGTATTCTCCACGAAGATTAATATACATCTGCATGCGCTCGAACCAATTTTTGAAGCACGTATTCCACTCGTTTGCTGGCAGATCAAAAACGGCATTTTTGAATGCGTCAACTGCTTCTTCTGGTGACTGGAACGTCTGACCACGCAGTCTGTTTTCAATTTTCGAGAAAGTAAAGAAATCGTTAGGACTTAGACCGGGACTATATGGAGGATGGTCCAATAATTCCACGTTTTCTTCCGTTAAATACTGCCTTGTTGTTTGGGCTGTGTGCGAGCTTGTTTGTCTTGATGAAGGATGATTCTTCTTTCGGGGTTGATTTTTCGAAGCTCGGTGATGACTTTTGGCAACCAAATGGTGGTATACCAATCCGCAGTAACAGTTCTTTGCTCATTAAGAGGAATTGTTGCAATATGACCTTTTTTTGTCTCTTGACAACTGTATGAGGCACCGACCGTTTTTACTCCAAATCCAGGGAGATCCACAATACCGGCATACAAAAATTGGTTCCACGTTGGCAAAAGGTCATTGAATGTGATGGTAATTACTTCGACGAATAAAAAGTGTCTTATTGTTTCTCAATAGAAATTTATATTTTTCAACTAAAAACCGCACGAACTTATTTGGTTACCTTATATCTATTGTTTGTCATTTATTTTCTTCTTGTATAATACATATAATACACTGTTACTATTATTACTATTATTAATAGTTTTCATGTGTTGCCTGCGTTCCCAGGGAATGCAGAAAAACGCATATTTTTAACATTGTCTTTACTATAATCAGAAGTGCAGGGTCGGTAAGTCAGTGTGATGAACATGTCTTTCAACAAAAAACTGTGGATTCCTCCTTTCACTACGTCGCCTTCTAACCCTGGCACGACCATCGTGCATGCCTAAACAAAATCGAGACTCGTCACTAAAGACAATACTGTTCCATTCCTGATCCCAGAGTGACCGTTGTCTGCACCACTCAAGGCGATTACGTCGGTGTTCTCAAGTTAAAGGGAGGACCCAGTGTGGCCGGTATGAAAACAAGCCAAAACTTCTCATTCGTCGGTAAACACTTCGCATGCCAATAGGCCTTCCGTGTTCTTCAAACCATTCATTTGCAATGGACCTGGTAGTGGAGAAACGGTCCCTTAAGGCCAATAATCTTAGGCGGCGATCTTCACGGTCTGTTGTTCTACGGCGGCGTCCAGTGCCCCTTGCTCTTTGCGTACGGCCTGCTCGAAGCCATGCCTGACAACACCTAACCACAGTGTCTACACTTCTTTGCACTCTAACTGCAATTGCCCGAAAAGAAAGTCCAGCTTCCCGAAGTCCCACTATACGGCCCCTATCAAACTCACTAAGTTGACGAAACCGTACAGGTCTCCGTACTCTAGGCATCGTAACCGATCGTAAAGGATGTCAAGAACCAAAATCCGCCAACATTGATTCTTTACTGCGGCTGAAATATTCAATTTTAGAGCGTTAGTGAATTAAAAAAAAGCAGTATAAAAACCGGAATGTCCAACTGATAAGGCTGAAAATTTTTTCACTTGTTTTTTACAGTAAGATAAATACATTCACCAACTTTTATTAAAATACAACCATTTAAACTGGGTGTTCGGATTTATATGTCACTTAGTATATCTACATCATTCTTTTATTGTGGGTCATGCTCAGCACCAGCTGCAACAGCCAATTAAATTATGATTATGATCACTTCCTTTTATTCTCAGATTGCAAATCAGATTTATGAGATTGATTCGATCTTCGTCCGTGCGAGGAAGCGTGTTATATCTTTACCATTAGTTTCTCAAAATTAATTGGATTTGAAAGTCAGTGATATCAACATATAGTCAACGCCAAACAAAGTGGCGTGCACGTCATCACGATAAAAATTCCCCGACCTAATGCCTAGGTTTCTATCACAAACAATTGCTCTATTGCAGTTTCATATTAATGTGATATATAAATTGTAAAATGGTCATTGCTCTCTTATTATGGTTAATAGTCATATAAACATTGTTATTAAAATATCACATAAGTTGCTTTCTGATAAATTTAGACGCATTATGCGAAATAAAATGTTTTGCAAACGCTCCAATCACTTATCGACATGTAAACGCACTAAACCGATTTCGCAGCGTTGACACATTGTCACCTTGAAACTTATTTAAACTGGGAACTGACATTTGTATTAATTTTGACACTGAATCAATTTGTGGCATTTCAAATCTTTATAAATCCTTTGGCCCCGCATACTGTAAATCAACAACTGTTTGTTTCAAAACAAAATTATTCATTTTCGAGTAGATAAAGGCAATTTTGGTATATAAAGATGCCCAAACAGTTAAATAGTCGGTGTAAGGAACTCGTGGCCGCGTTAATGCACTACTTTGAGCAAGAAAGGGACAACAACGGGCCTTTGTTGCCTTTAAATGCTGTTCAAGAGGTAGGTTACTAATAATTATATGTAATGTATATTAATAATAGTGAAATTTTATTTCATTTTTTGTAGCGTGTTGCTGCTGCTTTAAAAATTAGTTTAAGGACAGTTAGTCGTATTTCCGAGGGTGTGAAAAGTGATGCAAATTTAGAATCGCCCAAGAAAAAGCATTAAACGTGTAACCAACACAGCGACATTGGATACAAGTGCCATTCGAGAAGTGATCTATAATATGTATCACAAAAGTAAGATCTTATTATAATAACTTATCAGAAATTTGCATTAATTTGTTAACTAAATTATAATGTCATATTACACATGGTTTCAGAAGAACAAGTTACCATACAAACTTTATGGTCTCGATTAAGAGATAGGGCATTATTTGATGGTAGTGCCACGTCTTTAAGGCGGTTGCTTAGAGATCTTGGATTTAAGTGGCTTAAGGACAATCCGCGACGAGGGCTCATGGAACTACCAAGTATAGCTTTGAAAAGGGTGGAATTTCTAAGGCAATACAATCAAGCCAAGGTTGAGGCCTTATACCAGTTTGTCTTCCTCGATGAAACTTGGATATTTCAAAATGGGACCATAGGTCGCTCTTGGCAAAATGGAAACCAAAAAAGCGTGAAAGCTATTAAAACAGATGGTAAAAGGTATGTACTTTTACACAATTTGCAGTATAAAATTTAAAACTAATATATTTTAGATACATTATATTACATGCTGGAAATGAAAATGGGTTTATTGAGGGTAGTGAAGCGATATTTTCTTCGAAAACAAAATTGAGCGATTACCATGGAGAGATGAACCAGGACAATTTTTTGAAATGGTTTCAACATCAGTTATTAGAAAAATTGGAGAGTCCATCTATGATTATACTGGATAACGCCCCTTATCACAGCATGATATTGAACAAAGTGCCCAACAATGCATGGACAAAAAAAAATATCCAAGGCTGGTTGACAAATCAAAACATATCATTTTTAAACACAATGTTTAAAACAGAGCTATTGAGTATTGTTGTGCGGTACATAATGCTTCTTAATTATATATATTTTGGTCGACAGTTTATATTTCTTTTGTTTATTCCTATTCTTAAAATAACTGCTCTTTTAGAAACAAACCACCTAAAATATACGTGATTGATGAATTGGCGGAACAACATGGGCACAAAGTTCTTCGTCTGCCTCCTTACCATTGTATATTTAACCCTATTGAGTTAATTTGGGGCATAGCAAAAGGTTACTATAACAGACATATTGGTAGAGATGGTAACAGTGAAAAAGACTGTTTGGATATGTGGAACGAGGCTCTACAAACGGTTACCCCAGACATGTGGAAAAATAGTGTTCGACATACTGAGCAAGAAATTTTTAAATGGTATGAAAGAACGAATTTTTGATCGACCAGACATCGAACCTTTAATAATCAACTTTGAGAGTGATGAAGATTCAGATTCAGACAGCGCTGAAGAAAGAAACTCCGACTAACTTTATTGTACAGAAAAAGCTTACACCAGTAGCTTACCTAATTTTAGAATGCATTTTTCTGTATGAATTCTGTAAAATAAATACCATGCATAAAATTTGGAGGACCCCATTTGGATTTTTATTCAGTACCTTTAAGCTATCAATTAAATATGGTAGTTTCATAGTGTCATCTGATCAATAATTGTCATACTTAATGATTATGCAAGTACAGATCTATAATTTTATTATACTATTATTTTTGTTCTCATTTGAGGTTAATATTGCTTATAAACCTAGATAATATGTAAATAATAAATTTTATTATTTTACAAAAAGTTTGGCAACAATGTAAATTTTCCAACACACCCACCTTGATGACGTGCACGCCACTTTGTTTGGCGTTGACTATACAAGGTCAAACAACTGGGCTCTGAAAATCCTGTGACGTTACGCAAAGTAGGCCTATGCATGTTCTTATCGAGTTTCGCGATGCCTGGCTAGCAAGAGAACCGCGCCTCCATTTCTCTGCGGTGTTGTCGTATCTAGATTTGATATAGCAGTATCGAAATCTCTACTAATTAGTTGTACCTCTCTGTGTGCGAATTTGCAAGATGTACTCGGGGCCTGCGCAGCTTCAATGATGATGTGATTATTCTTTCTGATCTGCCTCAGTATGTCATTTTCGATATTACGTTCAATCTGACACTTGTGAAGTCTAATATTCCATTCAAAATTGGAATATGTGGCCTTGGTAACACCGCTAACATCCAACAGCCAAATAACCTCACATTCTGAGCCTCTATTATGTATCTTCTGTGCTATGTAAACTGAAAATTATTGATGTTTTAAACTTATATCTGTGTCTCGTGATTGTTTAGCTAAGTTTACAAAATTCCTTACAAGTGCTGCGTTCCTAATTGTGCCGGTAATTACGGAAAGGGTCCGAAGGTACACGTATTTTCGTTTCCACTGAATGAAAACTGTCGTAAAAGATGGCTCAATGCAATCCCTCGAAGTGATTACAAAAAACACCCGAGTAAGCAATTTGCACTTTGCATCACTTGAGAATCCACCTTCCTTGACGAAAAGACAAGTAGGACCATTACTGTACCCCTTAAGTATGCAAAATTAAAGCCGGATGTAATTCCAAGTATCTTTGCAAATTGTCCAAAATACCTTTCGAACGACATACCAAGCAGAAGAAGCCGAGATGAGAAATTGAGGGGCAAGGAACAAGAACAACTACTTAAAGCACTGCAAAGGAGCATTGATGATTATTCCTCCTATCAAAAATCAACAAGTTTTCAAAATTATTCAGACTTTCTCACAGTTTTCAGTACATGGCAATGTCCATATGGGTGGCATAAAATTGTTCAGGGTGCAGTTACTTTGTTTATGTTAGAATATAAACCAGTCGACCAGCTGTCAAAGATTGGGAGTACAAAATCTCTTCTTCAATGATATCTCTGCCGATGTAACGGACATAAACTATCAACTGTGCACAATTAAAGATGTCGCGGGATTCATCGCAACTAATGGCAAAAAATGGCGATAATTTTACTTTGTTAATTATTTGTGACTTTATGTCTGCTGCAATGTCATCGATTCTACGCTTGACTGTGTTATTTGAATGAGAAATATACTTCATTTTTTGATCTGCATCTTCTCCTAAAATTATATGCGTGGCTTTTAGGACACATGGTTTGATTAATTCTTCAGCGATAGAATGAGGTTTCTTTTGCTTTACTATACTAAGTGATATATAAATCCGAACACCCAGTTTGAATGGTTTTGTTTTAATAAAAGTTGGTGAATGTATTTATCTTACTGTAAATAACAAGTGAAAAAATGTTCAGCCTTATCAGTTGGACATTCCGGTTTTTATACTGCTTTTTTTTTAATTCACTAACGCTCTAAAAATGAATATTTCAGCCGCAGTAAAGAATCAACGTTGGCGGATTTTGGTTCTTGACATCCTTTACGATCGGTTACGATGCCTAGAGTACGGAGACCTGTACGATTTCGTCAACTTAGTGAGTTTGATAGGGGCCGTATAGTGGGACTTCGGGAAGCTGGACTTTCTTTCCGGGCAATTGCAGTTAGAGTGCAAAGAAGTGTAGACACTGTGGTTAGGTGTTGTCAGGCATGGCTTCGAGAAGGCCGTACGCAAAGAGCAAGGGGCACTGGACGCCGCCGTAG